CTGCAAATCAGGAAGTTAGTTCTTTCCGTGCCCTGCGGCACTTACGTCTGTTTTGACACCAGATCTCTTGTGTTTCAAAAAAAAAAAAAAAAACCAGACAAAATCAGGGCTCACAGTTTTATTAGGAAAAAAGAAGTTTCCTGCTTCCAGCAGCTGTGAAAGCTAACACAGAAAAAGCAGTCTTAAAAATGTCTTAAGTTTCTGCTTCTGGTTTAAACCCGAGCCGTGGGCGTGAACCTGGGCTTTGGAGTGCGCAAGCGCAGTTTCAGAACGGTATTGCCGCAGAGACGATGAATATTGAGAGCATTTTAATTAGCCGTGTTTAGAAATCCAACCTAGTTAAAAGTGTTCTCTAATGACACGCGACTCTTTGAGAGTAAACTGAGCTCCTCGCTCAGGCAAAAAGAAGCTGCCGCCCAACGTGGGGCTCGAACCCACGACCCTGGGATTAAGAGTCCCATGCTCTACCGACTGAGCTAGCCGGGCAGATGCAAGTTGGGCCTGTTTTTTCGTCCTTTGAGAAGTGTTCAGCTACATTTGCTTTTTAGTTATTCACGGTTTTGTTTCTAAAAGGAAAATATAACCAATAGATTGATAATAAACTAATATGAAAGAATTATACTCTTAAAGGTAAGAGTGCAAATTCTCGCAGAGGAAAAAAAAAGGATAAAAAAACAACCAAACAGCAAAAAACCAGAATACAAGAGAGGAGAAGGGAAGCTGTTAAATTATAAGAGTAAATGAGAAGACGTTCCTAATCTCATTATGGCACGCCAAGATGATGAAATAGCCGTCTATGGACGTGTACACATTCTGAGCTACTGGTGAATTTCTCTAGGTAAGGAATGTGCACATTTCTGTGATGAGTGCGTCTGTATGGGGCTGGTGGCTAATCCTATTTCTCGGAATTGCAAGTTAAAGCCTAATTGAAAAACAAAACAACAAAAACAAAAACAAAAGTGGGTAAACTTAAAGAGTGCCCAAATAGTCTTTCTTTCTTTTTTAAGATATCATAAATGTGGGACTAACAATCCCTATTACTCTATCCATAAAACACATAAATAACATATAGGACAAGGTTCATGGGTTAATTTAAAAAATAAGATGTGCCTTAAAAGATTTAGTTTTCCCAAAGATGTAATATATATATATATATTTATTTATTTATTTGGGTCTTTTGTCTGCATTTACATCTGCACACCAGGAGAGGGCACCAGAACGCATAAATCTTCAGTTACTGATGGTTAAAAACCAGCTTGGTCTAAATGTAAATTTCAGGCCAGCCAGGGTTGCACATTGAGACCCTGTTTCAAAAGAAAAATTACTACTTTAATGATAATTTATATGACATATAACATTAACTATTTTGATAAATGTTAGTGATTATTATAAAAACCATCATTATTGCGATTTGTTAAAATCATATTAAATATCTACTATTTACAAAGTACTGTTAGGTACTCAGCCTCAAAAGTTCATTACCCTATAACAAAAAATGCTTACCAATTCCATATGTAGTACTTCTAGAAGTAATTTCAAATAACTTTTAAAAACAAACCCGCCGGGCAGTGGTGGCGCACGCCTTTAATCCCAGCACTCGGGAGGCAGAGCCAGGTGGATCTCTGTGAGTTCGAGGCCAGCCTGGTCTACAGAGCGAGATCCAGGAAAGGCGCAAAGCTTCACAGAGAAACCCTGTCTCGAAAAACCAAAAAAAAAAAAAAAAAAAAAAAAAACAAAAAAAAAAAAAAAACAAAAAACAAACCCATTTAATTCTTGTGAGGAATCAGGTAAACACTCAAGGACCTAAGATTTCAGATCATCACCTTTCTCTAAGATACAAGATTAATCAACAAACAGTCTTCCAAGCGGCTTAGGCAGCAGGAAGAGGCCCCAAATTCTCAGTTACCAATGCACTAGGCACTCAAATACCATGTATTGCACACAAGTAGTGAGTGATGGGAAAGTTTAGCCACATACTTGAAATCTGTAGAACTTATCTTCAAGGGGAACCCTCCTGTGAATATAGCCTTTCCAGAGTGTCTCTGTGTAACAGCCTGGCTGTCCTGGAACTGCTCCTGTAGACCAGGCTGGCCTCAAACTCACAGATCTGCCTGCCTCTGCCTCCCCAGTGCTGGGACTCTAAGGGTATGCTCTACCACTGCCTGGCTTGTCTTTTTTTTTTTTTTTTTTTTTTAATTAAGTAGAGTCTTACTCAGCAGTTCTGGCTATGTAGACTAGGTTGGCCCGTTTTGCTTTTCTTAAACACTTTATTGATCCACTGTGTTCTAAATTAGGATCCTTCATGAAAGAATTGGAACTAGAATGCTTTTTTATCGTTGTTGATTTTCACCCTTTTTATTTGGACGAAATTTTGTTCTATAGTCTAGGCTGGCCTGAAACTCAAGAGATCTTCATGCCTCAGCCTCCCATATTCTGAGATTATAGACCCATGCCACCACACTAAACTGCAATCAGAACGCTTTACTCAGAATTAGAACAAAGCCGAGCTGTTATTCACAATGTTTTGTTAGCCAGAAGAACAACTGGATTTCCTCGGTCCCCTTACTTTCTGCGTCCAGTTATCTAACACACTCTACATACCTGAAGTCTTTTCAAGCATTTCATGTCTATTGCTACTACTCTAGTTCAAAGGACTCTTTAGTACTAATTGTCCACAAAGCTACAACAGCTTTCCAGTTGTGCCTGCCTTTATCCTTCCATTTATCTCTCACATAGAAAGGAGATAATTTAAAAAATTAAACTAAAGGAACCGAGTTTTGTTCCCAGCACCCAAGTAGAGTGGCTCATAATCACTTGTAACTCACGCTCCAAAGCCCTTTTCCGCTCTCTGCAGGCACCTGCATTCCTGTGCACAACCCCCATTCCCACCCCATACACGTAATTAAAAATAATAAAAACAAATACTTTTTTTTTTTGGTTTTTCGAGACAGGGTTTCTCTGTGTAGCTTTGCGCCTTTCCTGGAACTCACTTGGTAGCCCAGGCTGGCCTCTCACAGAGATCCGACTGGCTCTGCCTCCCGAGTGCTGGGATTAAAGGCATGCGCCACCACTGCCTGGCGAAAAACAAATACTTTTTAAAAAGATGTTAATGCAAAACAACCCTCCCCCCACATACACACACGAAAATAAATAAATAAAAAACCACAAAAAGCTGGGTGGTAGTGGCCCACACTTTTAATCCCAGCACTTGGGAGGCAGAGCCAGGCGAATCTATGGAGTTCAAGGCCAGCTTGGTCTACAGAGCGAGTTCCAGGACAGCCAGAGTTACACAGAGAAACCCTGTCTCGGAAAACAAAACAAAACAAAAAACTCCGGCCGTGGTGGCTACACTGAGAAACCCTCTCTCGAAAAACAAACAAACAAAAACCAAACCAAAACAAAAAGACGTTAATGCCATGGAAACTTAACAACTCAGCAACATTGTCCACACTTCAGGAGACTGAAACCCGGCTGAAAGCAGTGTGTACTGTTGGGCTGTCTTCTTTTTCCCTATGAAAAGCACTACCCAGGAGGCTTAGGGTGATGGACAGGGCTGGGATTCCAGCTTTGGGTAGTGGCAGAAAGGATCAGGAGTTCAAGGTCACGTTCGGCCAGCCTCAGCTACCTGAGACTACTTCAACAAAAGCGGACTGGTAGTGCATTCTTTTCTTTTTTTTAAAAATGTGCTTTTTGTTGTTGTTGGTGGTGGTGGTAGTGGTGGTGATTTTTTGTTTTGATTTTAGACAGGGGCTCTTGTATTCCAAGCTGGCCATGGACTGCAGATCCTCTTGTCGCAGCCTTCTGTGTATCAGGATTATAGACTTGCATCAATCACCATGCTGGAAAATGTTTTCTGGCTATATAAAATAAAAGTCTCCAGGATTTTAAAACATGCTTCTTCCATTTTATTACAAACGGATTTAAAAATCCAACCACTACAAAGTCGGGCCCCACGTCCACTTCTCTGATTTATCTGTTGCCCCTCTACCCCTTAATTCTTAAGATAGAGCTGACAGTTCCTAGAAGGAGCCTGGCACTTGGCGTTCCCAAGGCTCTTTAGCCCTTTTTCTAGACAGGGTTTCTCTTCTGTATAGTTTTGCGCCTTTCCTGGAACTCACTTGGTAGCCCAGGCTGGCCTCGAACTCACAGAGATCCGCCTGGCTCTGCCTCCCGAGTGCTGGGATTAAAGGCGTGCGCCACCACCGCCCGGCTCTTTAGCCTTTTCGAATGTAGTTTTGTAATCTTCCTGGCAGGGATGAAGATATTCTAAAGAAACACTTGTGCGTCCCCCTTTAATAAGACTCCACGAGCCGGACGGTGGTGGCGGTGGCGGTGGGGTCACGGGGCCTTTTTGTTTCTCAAGTGGCCACATTGGAATAAATCTCCTTCCCGGCTTTTGAGTGCTCTCGTCTGTGTAACCGGACTCCTGAGGACAGGTGCCCAAGCCTAGCTCGTCCGGACCATTAGGGACCAGGCTCTGACCTTAGCGCGTCTAGTAAGTAACAACGAGTTACAGTTCCTCCAGCTTCTCCAGGGAACCGCCTCCACGGCTTCTGCGCACGCGCGCCTCCTGCTCCCCCGCCCCTTTTCCTACAGTCCCCTCCACCGCCCTCGGGACGCCCGCAAGAGGACAGGCTATTGGTGGAGCGCGCAGCCAATGGGCGAGCCCGTTACTCGGCGGCCCAGCGAGCGGCGTAGGAGCGGCACTTGAGGCCTGGCAGCGCTCGGCGGCCTCCGGGGTCGGCACCATGAGCTCCATTGGAACCGGGGTGAGTCTCTCCGCGCCGTCCTCTCCAGGTCGGCGTTGCAGGGCGTGCGGGGCGCCGGGCCGCTGGACCCCGGGCGCTGCCTGAGGCCTGGGGACCCGCGGCCCGGGCCCTCGTCTCCGTGACCCCGGCTCCGGCGGCGTTTCGGGCCCGCTGCGGCCGCCTCCGCGCAGCCACAGCCCGGCTTGCTGAGTCACCTTGTTCCGCTGCTTGAGGAAACCGAAAGGGAAAGCTCGGGTGGCCTGCCCTGGTGTGGTCCTTCGGGCCCGGGGTCGGCCCTCGGGAAGCCCCTGCGAGCCCTCGCTGCTTGCAGTGCCCCGGGTTGAGCCTCGAGCGCGTCGTGTGGCCCGCCTGGGCAGGAGCTGCGGGGCTGCTGACTCACGGGCCTCCTCTGGCTCCCCGTCACTGTCGCTGGACAGTCCCTGGAAACCTGTCGCGACAGAGCCTCCAAGAAGGCTCGAGTCATGAGTTCTTTGCCTTTCTCCTCCGTTCTGCTTTTCCCGAACAAACCTCAGTGCCTCACGTTTTTGTAAAGAGTCTTGAGGATTTGCAAGTTGGACCTAATTTGTTGGCGGCTAAATACACCCCGTGTGCAGAGATTTACTCCACCTTTCCTTTGTCTCCATATATAAACCGCTTAACGAATATCTATTGATTGTATGCGGTAAAGGTAATGAATAATATGTTTCTTGGTTATCCTTGTCTCCTCCAAGATTTTGATGCTCGCCTGGTGGGGTGGTGCACACCTTTATAATCCCAGCACTTGGGAGGCAGAGACAGGAGGATCTCTGTGAGTTCGAGACCACCCGGTCTACATAATGAGTTCCAGGACAACATAAAGAGACCCCGTCTCAAAAACAAAAAACAAAACAAAGGTTGTGATGCTCAGAATTAAATGCTGATGTTTGGAATGATTTAATTGGTTACGAGGCACTAATGTCATGTAATACTTTTTTTTTGGAATTAGTGCTCAGTAATATATCTCACAGCAAATTCGCTGTGCAGTTGTGTTGTTATTTCCCATCAACAGTCAACTGACAGAACCATGTGGAATATTTTAGTATGAAACTAATAATAACCCTGAGCCTTAGGAAGTTTCACTGTTGAGGACTTGTTTCCCGGCCGTACTTCTCCCAAGAGTTGTAAATACCAGTATTTGTTGGTCATTTCTATCCATTTGGCTTTGTTTTTTTAACCCGTATCGCTGGGCAGATGGAAGGGCCAACCCAGGGCCTCGAGAGGCAAGCCACTGAGTTCCAAATCCTGACCATACTCTTTTTTTTTTTTTTTTTAGAAAAAAAAAGCTATTGTGGGAGGGGTTTGAGACAGGGCCATACTATGAAGCCTCGGCTAACCTAGATCTCTGCAGCTTCCTCTGTCAGCCTTGAGTGCTGGTGATCCACCCTTATTATTTAGACACGAAGCAAGAAATGATTATTAAGGTAGAATTACGAATTCTCTAGTTGGACAGTCAGCTGTAGCCTTCAGCTCAGTGAATGGTCCAATTCTCATGGTCAAATGAAAATCATTTGTCTTTTTTTATTTTACACTGAGAACTATCTGTTATTAAGGTGTGCCCCCACCGTGTGTGTGTGTGTGTGTGTGTGTGTGTGTGTGTGTGTGTGTGTGTGTGTGTTCCCATATGTTCTCTCACATGCCAAGGGACTAAACCCAGACTTCGTGCATGCTAGGTGAGCTCCATCCCAGCTCCACAGTGCTTGTTTGTTGTCTGTTGATGTTTAATTGTGTCCTCAAAAGATTTCCTTCTTTCTTGTATAGCAAAGCCACTATTGTTTGGAATGTCTGAGCTCCACACTCAACACTTCTTGGCTCTAAATTTGTTTCAGCCCAAGGGCAGAGTGTTGTCGGTTTAGTTTTATGTGTATGTATGGTGCACCACACGTGTGCCTGTTGTCTGTCCGAAGCCACGGCGGGTGTCAGGTCTTCTGGAACTGAAGCTACAGATGGTTGTGAGCCATTGTGTGTGTGCTGAGAATTGAACCCAAGTCCTTTGGGAGAGCAGCAAGTGTTCTTAACTGCTGGGTGTCTGCAGCCAGAATGATTTCTTTAAATGCTTGAATTTGGGCCTGTGAAATGCCTCACTGGGTAAACGTGCTTGCCACCAAGACTTAACACCTGAGTTCAGTCCCTGAAGTGCTGAGCTCTATTCCCAGATCCCACATGGTAGGAAGAGAAAACTGACTGGAAAGTTGTCCCCATGACATGTGCACTGTAGATAAATGTAAAACAAACCAGCAGTGTGGATTAGGTCATCCCACCTCCTCACATCAACACCTCATCCATCGAGGGTAAAGTGGAAACTACCTCCCCAACTTAGTTTGGCTCTCCTTCAGGTTTTGGATTTCTCACCACTGCTCCTTCCTCCCCCTTTCAGGACACATTCCTTGACTCAGGCTAGGCTTATCCCCACCTTAAGGCTTGAAGTCACGTGCCAGGGAAATTCTCCTCATGTCATAGATGACTTTTCCCTTGTCACTGAGTGTTTTATGTGTGTGAGTGTTTCGTCTCCTTGTATATATATATATGTGCACCTGTACGTGCCCAGTGGAGGTCAGAGGAGGGCTTTGGATCCCCTGGAACTGGAGTTACAGATGGTTCTCAACCACCATGTGAGTTCTGGGAACCTAACCCATGTCCTCTGCAACAGCTGAGCCATCTCTCTGGTTCCTTGGACCCATTACTTTTCAGTAGGAGAAATCTAAGGTGTTTAGTTTTCCTGAGCAACAGCTGAACGCTTCCTCCTTTTCAAAGCATTCTCCTTTAGGATATGGCACATTGCTGGTGTTGAGAAAGAACGAGTGTCTGACTGTTGCTGGCAGAGACACGTGCTGTGAACTTACTGTTGCTCCTCCTTTGTTGTTAGTATGACCTGTCAGCCTCCACGTTTTCTCCTGATGGAAGAGTCTTTCAAGTTGAGTATGCTATGAAGGCTGTGGAAAACAGTAGGTAAGAAGCCCTCTTCTGCTGAAGTCAATGTTTTAACCACAAATTATCCTGTATCTTGTATGTTTTGATAACTAGGGCTTGTATATTGCTTTAGCACAAACAAATATAATGCCTTGAAGTAATCTCAACTTCTTTATTTTATTTTGATTAATTTATTTTTGTTTTTCGAGACAGGGTTTCTCTTTGTAACAGCTCTAGCTGTCCTAGAACTCAATTTGCAGACCATGCTGGCCTCGAATGCACAGAGATCGGCCTCACCTGTCTCTGCCTCCTGAGTGCTGGGATTAAAGGCGTGTGCTACCACCGCACTCAGCATGATCTTAACTTCCTAGTCCTCTCCAGAGTTCTTTCTTGTACAGATCTTCTTCCTTTACTGAGGTTCCAGGGTTCAAACAGGCAATCAAATTTGCATAGCACACTTTTACCCACTGAGCCAGCTTGTTAGCTTTTTTATCTTTTTTTTCTTTTCTTTTTATTAAGAGATTTCTATTGGTTTTACATATCAACCACGGATTCCCCTGTCCTCCCTCCTCCCACCTGCTTTTTTATCTTTTTGGAAAAAAAATTTTTTTTTTTGCTTTATTTTTATTCCATGTGCATTGGTGTTTTGCCTGCATGTGTGTCTGTGTTGAGGATTTTGGAGCCCCCTGGAACTGGAGTTAAAGACAGTTCTGAGCTGCCATGTGGGTGCTGGGAATTGAACCTGGGTTCTCTGCAAGAGAAGCCAGTATTTTTAACCACTGAGCCAGCTCTCCAAACCCTTTATTTTTTAAAAAACAGTCTCACCATGTAGTGCTGGCTGGTCTGGAACCCTGGCCAGGGTAACCTAAGGAGATTTATTAATCTGCATCTGCCTCCCAGCTGCTGGGTTTAAAGGTGTACACCTTGCTGCTGGTTCCCTGTAGGTCTTTGAGGGAGTGTTCCTAACCAGACACTTAGGCAGACAGGAGCTGGCAGAAACCCAAGGGCAGTGACCCACAGAAGAGAGGTCTTAACACCTGAGTTTGACCATTGGTGCATTAACTGCTAATGATGGGCATACAGTCTTTTTGCCTCAGCGTCTTCATTTGTAAAATAGGGATGATAATACTGTTTGAAAAAGTTCTTGAATAAATTAGCCAGTGTATGGGGCCTGCTAGTTGGTAATGTAATTCAGTGGTAGAGTACTGCCTACCACGTATGGTTCTTGGGTTCCACCCTCAGCACCACACAAAGAAAAAAGCACAGATTGACAGGAGAATTTATTGGATGTAACAACAAATACCTAATGATAAACTGCTGACCTATTTACTATTACTGATAATATTTAATATTTCCTAAAATGGCTTATAGTTGTAAATATAGTTAGCTCACTTTACACATAAGTTCTGCACATTCAGGTTCAACTAGCTAGATTTAAAGGAGGCAGAGGCAGGTGGATCTCTGAGTTTGAGCCAGCCTGGTCTACAGAGGGAGTCACAAAACACCCAGGGCTACACAGAGAACACATGTCTCATAAAACAGATAAAAAAAAACCCACACCTCCCCTATCCCCCAGAAAACCCCAGAACTTAGGGCCCAGAGTGTAGCTTACTGGTAATGCGCTTGCCTAGCATGCACAAGGCCCTGGGTTTGATCCCTGGTACCACACACAAAACAAAGACAAGCAGGACAGATCCCTACAGGGCTGGAGATTTGCCTTCGTGCTGCATGCTTAGTGTGTGTGTGTGAGCAGAGTGTAGTGCCTAGCACTCAAAGAATCAGTTGTAAGTTTTGTAAAACTAATAATACAGTTACATGTTAGCATTAATAACAGTGTTAATGAAAAAACAAAGAGGACCAGGGCTGTGGTGCAGTGGTAGAGTGTCTGCCTAGCATATGTGCAGAGCCTGGCTGGATCTCCTGTACCCCTCCCCACCACTAAAAGAGAGGGAAATAAAGTAAGTAACATACTTTAATCTGGAAAGAACATCATACAGTTTATCCATATTTTACTTGAGGTTAAGATCTGAGTTGTGCCAGGAGGTGGTGGTGCACACCTTTAGTCCTAGCTCTTGGGGAGGCAGAGGCAGGAGGATCTCTGAATTCAAGGACAGCCAGGGCTACACAAAGAACCCTGTCTCAAAAAACTAAAAAGAGCCGGGCAGTGGTGGCGCACGCCTTTAATCCTAGCACTCGGGAGGCAGAGGCAGGTGGATCTCTGTGAGTTCGAGGCCAGCCTGGTCTCCAAAGCGAATTCCAGGAAAGGCGCAAAGCTACACAGAGAAACCCTGTCTCGAAAAAACCAAAAAAAAAACTAAAAAGAGGATCTGAGTTGTAACAGGACATATATTTTACTGACTTACATAATTACTAGAAGCAGTACACACTTATTGTAGAATAATTGGAAGACATGTAAGAAGAAAAATAGTTTAGTCATTGCTTTTAGTTTGTATGTAGTGTGTCTTTTTTGTGTATGTTATGCACCTTTTTTTTCTTTCTTTCGTTTTTTTTTTTTTTTTTTTTAAAAGACAGGGCTTTCTGAGCCTGGTGTGACATGGCACATATCTTTAATCCCAACACTTGAGAGGCAGAGGCAGGTTATGGTGAGTTCCAGACCAGCCAAGGGCTACACAGTAGGACTGTTTTGTTGTTGTTGTTGGAGACAGGGTGCTATTACACCTAGCCTCTAGTTTTTCTGGGGCAGGGTGGGGAGTTGTTTGTTTTGGTGGTTTTTTTTTTTCTTTTTCTTTTTCGAGATAGATTTCTCTGTGTAATAGTGTCATAGTCCAGGCTGTCCTGGATCTTGCTCTGTAGGCCATGTTGGCCTCAAACTCAGAGAGATCCGCTTGCTTCTGCCTCCCGAGTGCTGGGATTAAAGGTGTACGCCACCACCACCTGGTGATAGTTTTAAACATTTTAAAGTGGGCCAATAAGATGACTCCATCTGTGGACAAAGGCACCTGCCACCAGCCCTGAATTTGATCCCTGAGATTGACGTGGAGGCAGGAGCATACTCCCTTGGTTGTCCTCTGACCTCTGTGCATATGAACAGGAGCGCACACACATGCAGGCACACACAGAAAATAAATACAATCAGGTGCTGCCAGGTTTAACAAAAAATACACGTTTAAAAGTTTTCTGTGTTTTAAATATTACAGTTTATTTGTGTATTGTTAAGATAGGATCCTTTGTGTCTTAGGGTGTCCTTCAACTCACTGTGTAGCAGAGAATGACCTTGAAATGCTGACCTTTCTATTTACTAGTGCTGGGATAGCAGGTGTGCACCATTGTGCCTGGCTTCTGTGTGCTGCTGGGGATTGAACCAAGGGCTTCATTCCTGGTAGGCAAAGACTCTACTAATTAAACTGTCATCCCAGCCCAAAGTTAGCTTTGAGACAAGGTCTCATGTAGCCCAGGCTGGCCTCAAACTCTAAGTGCTCTCTCTATATAAACTTACCATAAATAAAAACATCATAACCTTGAACTTTGGATCCTCTTGCCTCCATCTCCCAAGTACTGGGATTGCAAGTATATGCACACCTTTTTTTGTTTGTTTTAAATATGATGCTGGGGATTGAATCCAGGGCTTTTCACAAGCTAGGCCATGGCTCTATCATCTGAACTATATCCAGCCCTTTGATTTTCTTTTTATTTATTGATTTTTATATATAAATTTCTTCTATTTCAGCTAAGAAAATTTTCTTTTTGTTTCAGTACAGCTATTGGGATCAGATGTAAAGATGGTGTTGTGTTTGGGGTAGAAAAATTAGTCCTTTCTAAACTTTATGAAGAAGGCTCCAATAAACGACTTTTTAATGTTGATCGACATGTTGGAATGGTAAGATCACACTTTAAAATGTTCATCCTGTTTTCACTAATTTCTTTTATGTAATCAAAGTACATTAAATTCTGTTTTTAAGAGATAATACATTTATTATTGGGTTTGATCATTCAATATCTAAAACAAAGGAAATAATTTTATAACCTTACTGGTGACAAGAAAACTCAAGTTGCCTTAAGGATGAGAGAGAGAGAACATGATTCAGAGTATGCAGAAATGTGGTCTTAACAGCATAGATCACCAGGAAGATAAATATTTGAGAGGCAAAAAATGTTAGTTAAGCCTTTCTTATCTATTTGGGGATTATCACTAAATGTTATCAGAACACTTTATAGTAAGGTATAGAAAGAGGAAATTATGTAAAGTGCAAGGAGAAGGACATTAATAGCTCCTTAGGCATCTCTTAGATCATAGTTTGATAGCTAAACCATCTGAGTGTAAGCCAAGCCATAAATACATTACAGGTAGGTGCTGAAGTCATATGTAGATGATAGGCTTCATTCCATAAGAACTTTCATAAATAAAATCATAATGAACTAGTCTTTCAGTGTTTATCTGTGTAGTTTTGATGCCTGCCCTGGAATTCGCTCTGTAGACCAGGCTGGCCTCCAACTCACAGAGATCCATCTACCTCTGCCTCCCAAGTGCTGGGATTAAAGGTGTGCACCACCATCACCCAGCTTAACTAAGTAGTCTTAACTATGCTACCTGAATGGGAAGAGAACAACCTGTGTGGTAGGTGTTAGGGTATGGGCTCGTCACATAATTTATATTATTTAATCCTTGTAGCATGAATCTTAGAGAGTCGTCTTAATAAAATCAAACCCGAGTCAGGTATTGGGGTGAACTGGAAGATCAGAGAACCAGAACAAGGCACAGCTTCCTCACCTCGTCGGATCCTCAGCTGGTCCTGTTTCCTCAGACTGGAAGCCTCTGAGTCCTCATCCAGAATGAATCTCAGCTGAACTGTGCTGCTAGAAGCCTGAAAGCTTAACCAGCCAAATGCTTCTAGTTTCTGGTCCTCATGCCTTATATACCTTTCTGCTTTCTACCACCACTCCCTGGGATTAAAGGCTTGCTTTCTGGGATTAAAGGCGTGTGTCACCATGCCTGGCCGTTTCCAATGTGGCCTTGAACTCACAGAGATCCAGAGGAATTTCTACCTCTGGAGTGCTAGGATTAAAGGTGTGAGTGCCACCATTTTCTAGCCTTTGTATCTAGTGGCTGTTCTGTCTCTGATCCCAGATAAGTTTATTAGGGTGCACAATATTTTGGGGAACACAATACCACCACAAATCCTGACCATTCCACTTTTACAGATGAGCTAACAGGTGCTCACCTACTAAAGAAAAAATTGGATTCAAACTTGAGTTTCATTGTTACTCCAGAGCCTGATACACAGTAGTATTCAGTAGTGGCTTTATTTCTAAAAGAGACATGATGCTACACCTAGACAAGAATTGATAGTAGCCCGTAAGCCTTAAGCTTTTTCTTTCCTTCTGAAGGATTTTTTCTCTCCTAGACGGATTTATTGTTAGTGTTTGCGATGTTCTGAGGAAACCTGTCAGGTTAAAAGAAAGCCAGACGCGGGTGCTTAAGTAGCTCCCCTCTCAGTCGGCCCTTTGGTGCTGAAAACATTTTATTCTAGACTTTCCAGATTTATCCTCCGTGTTACCTAAAGTCATCATGAAGAATGATGGCATTCTTCATACTTAGAAATTTGGTTGGGCCTGGGGCCTGTAATTCCAGTTACTAAAGAGGTTGAGGCATGAGCATCCCAAGTTCAAGGCCTGCCTAAGCTACACAGAAACCTGCAAACTGCTAGGTGCTGAAAGAGGCAGAGAAAGTTAAGGCTAAATTTCCTCTGTCTGCAATTGTCATCTTCATAGTGACTTGATAATTATTAGACGTCACAAAAACTTCACGAAAGCAGAGAGGCTTTTGTTTGAGCAGGCTTATTTGAATAAGATACTCTATTGTGACGTTTAACTATGTCTCTTCAAATTTGAAATTTTCTGCACTGCTACTTAGGTATTGACTTCAGTGCCTCAACATGTCAACGAATTGGCAGGAACTGTAGTTTTTTTGGATTGTTTGTTTGTACTTATTTATTTGGGTTTTCAAGTCAGGGTTTCTTTCTGTAGCCTTGGCCAGCTTAGAACTCCATCTGTAGATCAGGCAGGCCTCAAACTTAGAGATTCATCTGCCCTGTAGTTTGAAGCCATCAACCTTGTAAGATAATGGTATGTTGTATTTCAGTTTCTCCTTGCAGTTTGCTAGCCAGTTGGCTGCAAAATTTTGGTTATTATTAGCCTTTGGGGCTTTTAGACAAAAGCTTAAATAACTTTTTGAATGTACAGCTTTAAAATAAAAACCAACCTTGACCAAGATCAATGTTTTTGTTTTGTATTCTTTACAATGAAATGGTGATTTGGGAAAGTGAACTCTGATAGAAATGTTTCTTCTGAACATTGGACATTTGAGTTATAAATTAGCTATGATCTTACATTAAAACATCAGAATGCCCTTTGAAGACCTTTAAGCAAAGATAGTATTTAAATGATACTCATTTAAAAAAAAAAACTATTAGATAAGCCAATAGTAGATGATTTGCCTTTTGGTGTGCTACAAGAATGTCTATTAAATTGGTATTTTTTCTCCAGGCAGTCGCAGGTCTGCTGGCTGATGCTCGTTCCTTAGCAGACATAGCAAGAGAGGAAGCGTCCAACTTTAGATCTAACTTTGGTTACAACATTCCTCTCAAAGTAAGTTGATGATATGTCGAGGAACCTTTTGAACAGTAATGGAAATGTATTAATAAGGTCTTTTCCCCCCATAATTACAGCATCTTGCAGACAGAGTGGCCATGTACGTACACGCTTATACACTCTACAGTGCTGTTAGACCTTTTGGCTGCAGGTATGGAATTTTGTGAGACCTTTAAGTCGTATTTATACAGTAGTTCTTTTTCTCCACAAATTAGCCTTTTATTAATATCTGTTCCACCAGTGTGCTGGGGTTACAGACATGCACCACCACACTTCTCTGTGGATGCTGGGGATCAAACTCAGGTCATCATGCTTGGGCAGCAAGTACTCTGCTCACTGAGACACCTTCCTAGTCCCCCAGATTAGCCCCACAGAAGTACAAATTCTCACCGTAAAGTAGTAGGCAACCATTAAAAGTATACTTATAAGCTGGATGTGACTGTACATGTTTGTGATCCCAGTCCTCAGAGGCTGAGGCAAGACCTTCAAGTTCAGGGTCAGCTTAGGCTACATAGTGACTTCAAAGCTTGCTATCTAGAGAGCCTGTCTCTTAAAAAATCCTAAACATTGTTGGAATAGTGGAAGGAATCATAGTCCTGAAGTGATAAGAAAACTTGTCATTATGATTTTAATCTAATCATAATAAATTCTCTGCCATTAAGTCCTTGATACTCAGTATATCCTATCTTGACATGGGGTACAGCTGTTTAAATAGTTAATAAATAAAATGGTTCTAAGTGGCGTTTTTAATATTTTTTTTTAAAACTCCCCCGTAGACCAGCCTGGCCTCGAACTCAGAGAGATCCTCTTGTGTCCCCCCCACCCCAGTACTGGGATTAAAGGCATGCACCACCACGCAGCTGTGTGGTTTTTTTTGTTTGTTTGTTTGTTTGTTTTTAATAGCAGTCAGCAGTGATTCCATATAAAATTACATTTCATAATTTAGAATAGCCACAGTTTCTGTTGTTAAGATGAAGTGTTTGCTGGAGAAAGAGGATTCACTTGTAGCAAGAAATGGAATAGGTGTTAACATTTGTAATAGGGGGCTTGGGAGAACTGTTGTAACAGTATTTAAAATGAAGACATTCAGTTTATTGGTTGGAGTGCTTGTGTGTCACCCGCAAAGTCTTATGTCTGGTTCTGACAACTCATGACTACCGTCATGGTAGTGTAGTCTGTAATCTCGGTGCTTGGCAGGTAAGGGGGGTCAGAATTTACTGTTAGCTACATAGTTAAGACCAACCTGGGATGATACAAGAGACTGTCTTAAGTAAAGAGGACAAAACCTAGTTGGCTATGCTTTATCACAAGCCAATGTCTTATTAATATAGCTGTAATCCTGCCTTTAAGTTGCCTATCGGCCATGTTTCAATACAGAAATGAGAGATCTGTTGAAAACCTGAGTTTTATTCATTAGCAATGTTAGACCCCAGTAGAGCATTTGTTATGGGTTTCATTCAAATTGCTTATGAAACCTCTCTTTTGACTTTATAGAATGCCTTTCATTGTAACTGAGTTCCATGTTTGTCAGCTCCTTTCTAGGAATAGTGGTTTCTTGAGCATATACCATGAATTAGTCATTAATGTGGGGACATAGATGTCGCATTGATGAAACAGCCCTTAGAGATGAAATGACAGGATCTCAGCATTGTTACTGAATATAGTGGAGCAGCAGTTAAGGAGTGGTCTGTTCCAGAGAGGTGACAAGGAAACATACACGAAATACTGGGGTAATGGGTGAAGACTGTCTCATGTGCTGGTGTGAAACATGGGCATTTTGGGGAGTGCAGAGGTGGTAAAAAGGTAGTAGAAATGATACTACAGATGTACAGTGAGGCCAGTGTATAACAGCTCCAAAATAAAGGGTTTCAGGAGAGGACATGTTGAAGAGTTTTTAAATGATGATCAGATTTCTATTCTGAAAGAGGAATTGCATCAGTTTGGATGGGGAAAAGCTGGGCACAGATGGGGTGGTTGGCTCTTAGGATGTTACACATGAAGTGATAGATAGGCAAACTTAAGGCTGATTTCTCTAAAGGAAATAGTTTCAGAAAATTGGTAATTCATGATCACTTAACAACCTAATTTTAATTTGTTGAGCATATAAAACTATTGAGCCATTTCCGACCATTGCAGAGGAATGACTGGCGGACTACTGGGGATAAAATGAAGGGTGCTTTTCACCACACATTGTCCCCTTAACTGAATGTGCAGGGGCTTTGCTCAGGCCCGGGAGTTGTTTTGTCTGTACCTGTCCTTACTCCTTTTGCTACATTCTGGTATTGCAGAATAAAAAGTTCCATAAGGAAGGTTGACTAAAGAAATCACATGGATTTTAAATACTGTAGTTTAATACTAGTTTTTATTGAAGCCGTCTTACCAAAGAACTTATTAACTCTAAGTTATCTGTTTCTTAGCACTTTATCAAAGAAAATCTACTTACCGTTTCATCATTATATATAATAATATATATGGTGTTGAGAAGCATGTTGTAAACTGTTTGTTCTTACGCAGTTTCATGTTAGGGTCTTACAGCGCGAATGACGGTGCACAGCTCTATATGATTGATCCATCTGGTGTTTCATACGTGAGTACACGTTAAGTGATGTAAAAGTCTCTGTCGTTAAACTTCATTTCTTTATCATTTATCTCATGTGCATTATGTAAAGTATTGTTTAAACTCAGTTAGTGCTGGGCATAGTGGTGGAGACCAGCAGTCCCAGATACGTGGAGGTGAAGAAGGAGAATCCCAAATTCAAGGCCAGCGTGAGCCTTCTCAAAAGGATCTTGACAGCTTACCAAAGACTAAAAGTCTCAGAGTAAAAGAAACACCTGGGTATAGCATAATAGTTGAATGCTTGCCTACCATGTGTGAGGCCTTGGCTTCAATCCACAGCATTTTAAGAATAAATACCCAAAACTCATTTAAGGAAAGTGCTGTTTTTTTATATTAATGAACATATGATGTAGAGTTTTATGACTGGCTTTCAGGATGCTCTTGATGAGAACTACCTAGTGAAATATAGTATTTTGAGTTTGTATGTACTTGTCCCATCATTGTACTATGTCTTAAGACTGAATATAGGGCAGGATAACTGCTCGGGGGTAGAATAGTTGCCTGCATTTTCAAGGCTTTGGGTGGAAAATCTAGCATGGGGGGGAACCAACCCAAATTTTTAAATTAGATTTATTCATTTTATTTTTTTGCCTGTTTTGCTGGCATGTATGTGTATCTTGTGTGTGCTTGGTACCTGCAAAGGTCAGAAGAGGGCAGAGAATCCCTCTGGAACTGGTGTTAAGGATGTTTGTAAACAATCATGGGTGCTGAGAATTGAACATGGTCCTCTGCAAGAGCAGCAAGTCCTCTAAAACACTGAGCCATCTCTCCAGCCCCAACCTAGATTCTTCTAGAATTAGGTTTGATATTTCAAGCTCCTTGACATTCATGTGAATGTATTTGGATATTTCTTTTACTTGTTTTGTTTTTTGGAGACAAGGGTCTTACCATGTAGTCTTGGCTGGTCTCCAAATCAAAGACCCAAGTGTTAGAATTAAAGGTGTGCACCACCACTAAGTAGTAACTATTAATGATATCAAATCATGTATCCTAATTGGCTTTTTTCTTCTTTCCCTCCTTTTACATAGGGTTATTGGGGCTGTGCCATTGGCAAAGCCAGGCAAGCTGCAAAGACAGAAATAGAAAAGCTTCAGGTAAAGTATATTGAATGCTGGGTTTTACTAGAAGTGGGATTTACAAACCTCTTAGTCCAACAATATCATGCCACTTGATTTTAGAGACTTTGTGAAGTTAACTAATTAATTAGGAGATCTGGAAACACATTATCTATGACTTGTATCGTGTATCCCTGTATGATTTTGATTGCTTCTGTAAAGACTCAAGAAGGAAAAAATTACAACTTTTTCAAGATTTATTTCTTGTGTATGAGGGTTGTGCCTGTGTGCATGTCTGTGTAGTGCATGTGTGTCTATACCCAAGGAGGCCTGAGGAAGGCATCAGGCTCCCTGGAACTTGGGTTAGAGATGGTTGTAAGCCACCATGTAGGTGTTTGGAACTGAACCTGGGTCCCTCTGCAAGAGCATCAAGTGCTCTTAACCTTTGAACCATCTTTCCAGCCCCCAAAACTACTTTATATATATTGCTACATACATCCTTAAAGTCCATTCTTCGGTCAGCTGCAATAAGAAAAGATTTTTTGTTTTGTGTTTTCCTCCTACATATTGTCTTTGGACACAGCTTTTATCTTAAAAGTATTAGTGTCTGCTCAAGTGCTTTTCCCTACTTTGCGCCTAAAGAAAGCATGAAGTTTAAAACTACCCCTTCAAATGTGGCTTAGTGGTACACCCCTGTAATCCTGGGACTCGAGACGATTGCAGGAGTGCTGCATGTTCAGAGGCCAGGCTGGGCCATACACTGAGACCTTGTCTCACATTAAAACTACCCACTTTTTGCTAACTGAACTATGTTCAGCTGTTAGTATAGAGTATTTTCTTTACATTCCCAAATACTCTGGCTGTTGTCTGCTTTGGTTATGTGAAGCTTCAAAAATTTTACTTTTAACTCTATGTGTACGGGAATGTACACTTGTGAATACAGTTGCCCACTAAGGCAGAAGGAAGTCTCGCCTCCTTGGAGCTGGAACTGCAGGTGGTGGTGGTTAGCTGCCTGACAGCTCACCACCGTATTAGAATATTTCATCACCTTAGTATCTGAAAATGAAAACTGGTTTGCTCAAGCACTTTTGTATACCTGTTATTGCAGACCAACTCTATACCCGTGTACCTCAGCCTCCCCAGTGCTGTGATCACAGGTGGATGCCATCACACTAGCCATAGCCAGTTCTAATGCTTACAGTATTCAGACTCCTCAGCTGGACACCCACCTACATTTTTCTCCGGATTTCCAATTGTTTACTGAAGGAACAATGAGTGATTTCCAGTGTAAACAACTTTGTCTTTTTGAGTTAATTCTCACTATGTAGCCCTGGTTGGTACAGAAGCTTTTGTTTCCATGTATTTATTTGTTAATGACATTGTTTAACTTGGTGTGTTCCTATTTATGAGCCTGTGTCCCATGGTGTGCTATTGCCAGTCCCAGGGTTGGTGGTGTATGCCATTACCATTGAGCCGTCTCAGCCTGCCTTTGACTTCTCACTTTACCTTTTTTTCCTTCTTCCTGCTTTTCCTCTACTTTTATCTTCCGTGAAATCAAAGGAAATAAAATCCTTTTAATATATTTATGTTATATATAAAATAAAATTCCTTTAATAACCTGCTTAATTAAATCTTGTTTTTCGGGACAGAGTTTCTCTGTGTTACAGCCCTGGCTGTCATGGAGCTCACTTTGTAGATCAGGTTGGCTTGAACTCAGAGATCTTCCTACCTCTGCCTCTTGAGTGCTGAGATTAAAGGTGTGCATCACCACCACCACCTGGCTCATTTTTGGTATCTTAGAACTTGTCCCTGGAGCTGTAGAGATGGCTCAGTGGTCAAGGGCACTTACTGCTCTTGTAGAGGACCAGTTCTCAACAGCCACCTGTCAGTTCATAACCACCTATATAATTAATTGAATTAGGCTATTGTCCAACTGTAAAGAAAAAGAGCAACTGGTAATTAATACTAAGTCATGAAAATAGTTAAGCAAATAGTTTACACATTTCTTCCTTTCTGTTTTTGGAGACAAGGTCTATATGTACCCCTGGCTCTCCTGGAGCTTGCTATATTGACCAGGCTGGCCTCGAATTCTCAGAGATCTGCCTGTCTCTCTCCCAAGTTCTGCAAATAAAGGTGTGCATCACTATTCCTGGTTTTATACATAACACAAAATTAATCAGTATGCTTTTCTTGTAGATGAAAGAAATGACTTGCCGTGATGTAGTTAAAGAAGTTGCAAAAATGTAAGTTGTTTGAAACTTTATCTGCCACCCACAAAAAAAAACCAAAAACCTTACTTGACCTCATCTCTGTATACATTAATTCTTAAGTAGCTCTTATGTTTGAAAATGTACTGGGAACTGAACTCAGGCCTTTATTATGCTAAGAATGTGCTGTACTACTGAGGTAAACCCCTAGCCTGAATATATTCAAGTTACATCTTTATTTGTATTTAGAAACAAAAGTTTCACAACATAGCCCTGGGTGCCCTCGAAATCAAAAGAGAATCCACCAGCTTCTACCTCTCCTGGGATTAAAAGCATGTGCCACTATGCCTGGAAAGTCACATCTTTAAGTAATGAATGGGGTCGAGAAATAAAGTTTATGACAAACCAGAGACCCATGCTGTTCCATATGGGAGGCAGCCTTCCTGACCAAATGTGTCTGACGTGGACCACCCTTAGGATACCCACCTCCAACCCTCCAGTCTCCTAGTGTTTGTCTGGGCAGGTCTCTGCACAGGCAGTGTAACAGCTGGGCCACTGCTGCCCATCTGGCATTCCAGGCACGAAACGTAGGAGTGCCAGGGTCTCTTATGTGTACCAACCCTGGAGGGCCTCCCCACCCTGTCAGAGCTATTGTTTTGTTGTTGAGTTACTTCTTCCAACTAGCCCACCTCCTCCAGGCTCCTGGGGGTGTACAGGAATTGAAGATGACTGTGCAGTCCACAGACCCCATTCTAGTTCATGCATCTTTAATACATCCCCAGCCAATGTGCTCTGGGAGGAAGAACTTGGCTAATTTAAGGGGCATAGGAGACCTGCCACCCTGGGCACTCCTCCCGGGGAGTGGTAGCCTGTACTGTCTGCTTGTTGGCTCTGAAAGTTGAGGTAGGGACAGAGTCTCAAGGCCTTGATTTATTTTAGCAGCTGTGTTTCTGGGATCATGGTGTAAGCATCAGGGGGTGGAGCTTTGTCAAAGTTCAAAAGTGTGAGATGGTCCTCTGGAAGAGCAGCCAGTGCTGCTGAGTCATCTCTCAGCCCCTGGAGATCATATTTTTTAAAGGCATTTTAATTAAATGCTTTGGTATATTTTGAAAAGTAATAAATGGGATTGAGAAATATAGTTTGTGACAAAGTAAACCTGTATATATGCAGTAGGATTCAAAGATAGGAAGAGGACATAGTAGACATTTAGAAATTCTACTTTTGAATGCTTACAGGGGCTGGAGAAATGGCTCGGCAGTTAAGAACACTTGTTCTTGCATGGGACTTGGGTTTGATTCCCAGCACCCACATGGTGACCATATATAATTCCAGTTAGAAGAGGCCTGGGATTGGCTCTCTTCTGACCTCCATGGTTAAAAAAGCACACACATACACAGACGAAACATTCATACACATAAAGTAAATAAGTCTACATTTTTTAAAAATAAAACAGTGCTTAAACCCTGTAGGTTTGTGTGTTGCTAGAATAGAACATGGGTCTCACATACTGAATACATGTTCTGACATGGAGCCACACACGTGGCTTCACTAACTTTCTTTTGTAGGTTCATAGTTATCTCTGCATGTGATTTAAGAAGCTGGCTTATTAATACCAGCTGCTCTTGGAATCTTTTCAGGTTTATCATATTTATCATATAAGTTCTATAAAAAAACTTTTGTAAGAAAACAGGATTTACATTACAGGTATAGAGCGAGTTTGGCTTAACAAGTTTTAAAATACTAAGCAATAAAGTCAGAACACCTGGTGGATAGTAATTCAAAAAGATGAATTAATTTGCAGGGCGTGGTGTTGCCTACTCACTCAGGAGGCAGGGCCAAGTGGATCTCTGAGTGTGAGGCCAGCCTGGTCTAGAGTGAGAGTTCTAAGATAGCCAGGGTTACACAGAGAAACCGTCTCAAAAAGCCTTCTCTTTCAAAAAAATTTAGATTAAAGAATGCGGGCTTTTCTATTAAAACATCTTGTAGATACCTTTTCAGGCAAACTCTATGAACAAATGTACTTAGTTGGTTCTTTATGCAATAGTGTTTTTCAGTTTTTGTATTTTATAATAGAAGGAAAATTCTGGGTTCTAGCATAATAAAAAAAGATAGAGCTTATAATGTCTTACAAAGGGATTTTGTTTGCTGCTATTCCTGTTCTTGCCAAGACTCACCCCCCCCCCCATTCACCTTCCACTGTGAAGCAGGAATAGTAGCAAACAAAATTTTCTTTTTTTTTTTTTAACTTTTTATTGATTCTTTGTGGAATTCACATTATGCATCCTGATCCCATTCATTTCTCCATCTCTTCATATCCATCCTCTGCCCTTGCAACCTCCTCCCCAAAATAGAATTTAAAAGGGGAAGAAATTGTCATGAGAGCTGAGGTGTCACAGTGACTGACAGTGTGCCCTTTAGTCCATACCTCTTTATTTGCAGGTGTTCATGGCAAGGCATTCTCCTTTTATCAGTTAAGAACTGTCTTACATTAGAAAGTGGAAGTAAGTTCTTACCATAGTGTGAATATCATACAATCCAGTTTCTTTCACTGACGCAGTCTTTGAAGTTCCTGGTGGAAGTCAGCCCTTTGGCACCTTTCATATTTTTTCTGTAATTGGTAGGTAGCAATTTGTTCCCTCTCAGGAAGCCATCATTTCCTAGTGTAACTAAGGTCCTCTCCTATTAATAGCAAGGCTTTCCCAGAGCCTCCAAAAGTAAGTTTAAGGAAAAGGAAAGCTTTGTTTTGGATACTTTTTCTGTTTCTGTGTGTTGGGGGCGGGGGTTGTTAATTTGAAGTCGGCATCCTTCAGGATCCTCCTGCCTTAGCCTCCAGGACTATAGGTATAAGCCATTGCTGTCAGTTGATACTCCATTGTTTATACTACTGTTGTAACTGGTTATGTGCTTTGTTGTAAGTTTGTAATGTGTTTATAAACATAAGAACAAGTTTTAGTAATGCGTAAGCTACTTGGAGAGGGGGCTTAAATTATTGGTTAATTTTTGAAGTATTTAATAGAGAAAAAAATGGGTGTCTTGAAAAAAGCACACAGTTCATGATGACCTTTCCAACTTGAGCCTGTTTTCTTTCTGAGATGTCTTTTTTTTTATTTGAAGCTTTAAAACACTATCAAAATAAACTGAATTTGAGTAATAAAAGTACGTCAATATCTGTAGAGATTTGCCATTTTAAGAAAAGAATAGTTTTATTTTCTGTAAGTATTTTGCTTGCATGCACCATGTGTATACGTATGTAGTACCCAAGAGGCCAGAGAGAGTGTTGGATAGCCTGGAAAGAGTTACAGATGGTTGTAAGTCTATATCATGTGGGTGCTGAGAACCAAACCCAAGTGCTCTTAGTACTGAGCTGTCTTGCCAGCCCCTAATTTGTCTTTTCTCATTTTCAAACTAGACTGGAGAGTGTATCATTTTATAAATAACACCAGGCATGAAATGTCTAGATTATACTCTGTTCACAGAACTTGTGTTGATGTTCATTTCTTTTCTCTTGTAGAATTTATATAGTACATGATGAAGTTAAGGATAAAGCTTTTGAACTAGAGCTCAGCTGGGTCGGTGAATGTAAGTTACATCTGGACATTTATGTATTCTAGAATTCATTTGTACTTTAAGACGAGTTAATGAAACAGTTCAATGCAATAACTGATGTTGTGAACAGTTCTCATTGAAACATCTACATGATGTTATATGTCCTTGTCAAGATTTATAAGTCAAACTTATTTTCAAGTAAGCTCAACTTGGGAACATTGAGTATTGGGGGAGGAAACAACAAAAAATGAACCCCACCTACTTGTAGATTAGGCAGAGTGAATGGTATTGCAAATCACAATCCTCATTTTTAATATATTGTTTGACTTTACAGTAACTAAAGGAAGACATGAAATTGTTCCAAAAGATATAAGAGAGGAAGCAGAGAAATATGCCAAGGTAAGCAACAGCAAAAACACTCTTGTAAATAGTCCCATGGACTGAGTCATACGGTAACTTGGTTGATGTGTGAACTAAGGATAACAGATTTTTAGGTTACTTCTAGGGGGGATAGAGTTGTCCTAATTTAAAAAAAAAAATTCTCTGCTTGAGAATTCCAATATGGGCCAAGTGTGGTGGTGCATGGGAGGCAGAGGCAGGAGGATCTCTGAGTTCAAGGCCAGCCTGGCCTACAAATCAAGTTCCAGGTCAGGCAGGGCTACGTAGAGAAACCCCGTCTCGAAAAACAAAAACAAAACAAAATTCTAAGTTTCCCCCCACCCCTGAATGTTTAATGCTTTTATATTGAATTATCACAGGACAATAAACTTATCACTGGGTTATCTTTAAGATAGTTTTTTTTTTTAATTTTATTTTTATTTTATATGCATATGGTATTTGGTCTGCATGCAGTATGTTTGTGTGAGGGTGTCAAGATTCCCTGGAACTGTAGTTACAGACAGTAGTGAGCTGCCATGTGGTTGCTGGGAATTGAACCCAGGTCCTTTGGAAGAGCAGCCAGGGCTCTTAACCACTGAGCTATCTCTCTAGCTCCTTAAGGTAGTATTTTTAAGGTATAAGTAACAGTTTGTAGTCACAAAAGTTTAAAATGCGGGTTCTATAGAATGCAACAAGATGAAAAACTTAAAATACTTTTTTTCTTTTAACAGGAATCTTTGAAGGAAGAAGATGAATCAGATGATGACAATATGTAACATTTTCTTCACTATCTCTTCTGTTTAACATTTCTGTGACAGTTTCATATGACTAGCACCATGGATCATATATACCCACTGACCAATTTTCATTAAATTTTTGTCTTATAAACGTTGTTGGGTAATTGAGGATATCTGCTTTCTATTAAAATGTAGATTCACATTTGATTAAAAATTGTTAGTAGTGCGGCTTGGGAGATGGCTCAGAGGTTAAAGAGCACTTCTAGAGGGCCGGGTTCAATTCCCAGCAACCACATGGCAGCTCACACTTGTCTGTAACTCCAGTTCCAGGGTTTCTGACACATCACACAGACATACACACAGGCAAAGCACCAATAAACAAAATAAAAATACACATTTTTGTGCATGCACGTGCGTGCGTGTATGTGTGTGTGTGTGTGTATTCATTCGTATTCTTAGTACGTGGTGGCAGACAGGTCTACAAATCAAGCTGTAAGATGGCCATGGTTATACCAAGAAACCATGTCTCAAAACAATACAAAAAAAATAGATTCTGTCTAGAGTTTTAGATTGATTTTGAATTGTGTTTTTTTTTTTGTTTTTTGTTTTTTTGTTTTTTTTTTTTTTTGGTTTTTTCGAGACAGGATTTCTCTGTGTAGCTTTGCGCCTTTCCTGGAACTCACTTGGTAGCCCAGGCTGGCCTCGAACTCACAGAGATCCGCCTGGCTCTGCCTCCCGAGTGCTGGGATTAAAGGCGTGCGCCACCACCGCCCGGCTGAATTGTGTTTTTGTATATGTGTATGTATATGAACCATGTCTGTGCCTGGTGCCAATGGAGGTCAGAATAGGGCTCTAAATTTCCTGAACTAGAGTAATGGATGGCTGTGAACCACTTTATAGGTGCTGGGCACTAAATCTACAAGTTCTCTTAACCACTGAGCCATCTCTTTAGCTCTCTTTAACTAGAATGATCATATTCTACTGTGGTTTTTGTATTTAAAAAAATTCAGTTTAGTAGATAAAAGCTATGTTTATAATTACGGTAAACATTTTTGCTTTTTCTTTTCTTTATAGTGATAAAGAGTGGACTTTATGGATTAACAGTTTCTAGTCAATCATCCAAACAGTTGCTTGAACCAGAACCCAATCCTTCCATACTGTTAGTAAGACCATGTAGCCGTGGGGGTGATTCCTAGCTAGCAGTGCACTGTATAATATTGTGATGAAAACAGCAAGTGTTATAACTAGAGTAGAAAGAATGTGAATTCAGGCAGGGGTACCAATTTAGGCTATCAGTGCCCAGATCAACTCCTGACTGGCCTTTCAAAGAAACTAATCTGTTCATTGAGTTGAGATATGTGGTATTGTTGGACTTAGAACACATATGTGGATTAAATGTCACATCATTTTATCTGAATATCTTAACTACTATGCAATCAACTCAAAATAGTTTAAAAAGTATTTCATCATCATAACTTCTATGTGCTACATTTTACAATCAATGCATTTAGCCCAAATTGACAGAAGTGTTGGTTGGCTTTGGATCTATTTTCAGATAGAGAAACTGACTATATCTAAGTTAGTATATAAAATATGTCTAGTCTGTGTGTTCTTTTTCGTTTTTTGAGGCAGGGTTTGTGTAGCCAGCTGTCCTGTCCTGAAACTCCCTCTGCAGACCAGGCTTGCCTTGAACTCAGAGATCCGCCTGCCTCTGCCTCCTGAGTGCTGGGGTTAAAGGTGTGTGCCACCACACTACTGACACATGAGTTTTGCTGTGTTGTTGCTATAACTTCTTAAATTCACTAAGTACAACGAATAACCATCTGAAGTGGTTCTAAACAAACCTTTATCTTAACTAATTATAAGCTACTATAAATACCATATTAGATCAATTTTAAGATTTGCTGTTATGAAAGCAAATCATAACTTTTCCAATATAGTACAGAAAGTCTAGATTTAATGTAAGGACATTGTGTAACTGCTACTGAGGATTAACCAGCCTTTTGTGGGAAAGATGGCACATTCTAATTTTACATGAATACAAACAGCATTTATTTTCTGATAAATAAGTCAGAAATCACCTTAATATTGGCACCTGAAATAACAAAAAATAACAAATTTGGGCTTAAATATTAACATATAATAAAATATATTTATATTACTTATCTGTTAAAGAGTTCATTCGGTTTGGTTCTTGGTGGTTTTTTTTTTTTTTTTTTTTTGTTGTAGACAGGTTCAGTCTCTCTACCTAAGTTCTGGTCATCCTTGAACTCACTATTCTACATGAATAGTGTAGACCAGGCTTGGCCTCAAATTCTCAGAGATCCACCTGCCTCTGTCTCCACCATGCCTGGCCCTGTTTCTGTTGTTTTTAAAAGGACCTAAAAATCAAAATGAAGTTTAGACCATCAACATCTCTGAATCAGTTTTCTTTGTAAGATAAGTGGCAAAATTACATTTTTAAAAAAACATTGTATAAAATAAAACACAGACCACAATTCTGGTTAAGATACCAGAAGAAATGCCAGAATGTTGTATAAAATAAAACACAGACCACAATTCTGGTTAAGATACCAGAAGAAATGCCAGAATGTGTAATACGTTTGTACTTATCTTTGAAATGCAGTCCAGAGCTGACCCGCATTTTTCACTCTGGCAAAACTCCACTGTATCCATATTGTGTTCCCCATACTCAGGCCATTCCTCAAGAGGAAGACATCAGAAGATCTCAAAAGCACCAAGGTTTCTTTCCACTAAACGCCCTTCGAGTGTGTCTTTCTTTACACCTTTATGAATTAAATGCCTTTACCTGTTGTAATTAGTTAGGTGGAGCACCTGTTCGTTCAACAGAGAATGGGTTGTTTGTTGAAATCCGGCAAGGCATGGTTACCACACACTTGTAATTCCACTATGGAATTTCTTGTTAAGGAACTGAGTTAATGTGATACCTCTTTAAAAAATTTTTTTTTCCAATACAACTAACTGAGCATACTTAGCACTGGCAATGATGCAAGGTTAACAGGAACGTTAAAGGAATAATTTGGCAGTTTTCTTACAGTGTAACTGAGCACATAACTCAATGCTCCTCCACATTGAATGCAGGGCCAGTCAGATGGTAAAGGTTTGCTGTGCAAACCTGACAGTCTGATTTTGATCCCTGAAACCCTTGGAGGGGACAGCAGATTCCTGACAGTTGTCCTCTGACCTCCAGGTGTATACATGTGCAGGCTCTCTCTCAGCGGCATGATTCATATACATCATTGCAATGCAATTTCATGATTTCACAGAAAGCAAAACTAGAATCACAAATAAGTGATTCTTGGGATGGAATGACAAAAGCAAGCTAAGTCACTTTTACAGAGTTGGAAATATCCTGTATCTTCATTATTTAGTCAAAGGATGAGTCTGGGGAGTTCATCAAGGTTTTGTCGTATTTTACCACACCACAATAAGCTAGACTTAAAAGACTTAAGGAAATGAAAGTTATTGTTCTTTCAAATCAACTAGGTACTTGAGCATCACTAGCCTGTGTTTCACCTGGGATCCATTTTATTGTAATCCTAGGCACAGTGGATAATCTGTTCTTTAAATTAGTAAACGCAAAGGTAGACAGGATGTTGCTTTCTTCTCTTTTTTTGGGAGAAGTTCTCGCTATGCTTCCCTGCTGGCCTTGAACTTGCCAGAGAGATGCTTGCCTTTGCCTTTGGAGTGGAGTGCCAGGATTAAAAGTGTGCTGGAGCTGGTCAGTGGTGGCACAGGCCTTTAATCCCAGCACTCAGGAGGCAAAGGTAGGCGGACCTCTGAGTTCAAGGATAGCCAGAGCAGTTACACAGAGAAACCCTGTCTCAAAAGAGACATGTGGTATGCCACCACATGTGGCTAGATTTTAAAAAAACCTGCCTCTAATTCAGCTTCACTTGACTAAGAACTGAAAAGCTTGAAAGACAAGAAAAAATAACTAATTTTTGCCCTTTATAAAATATTCGGAGAAGCCTTAGACCAGTGAGACCACTAGTTGCCCTCCTGCTCCGTTAGGCTAGTTTTAAAAAGTGAGAGAGAAAATCAAACAGCATCTCATAACCCAAGCTATTTTACTGTCTTTGATTCTGTTTGTACCCACTGTTTATTCAACTTGAACTAAGTGCTATATACAACAGGCACCTGTGCGTTTCTTGTGCTTCATGTATTTAAACATAAAAACCTTGTGAAAGTAGTGTTCTTTTCTTGATCATCTCACCCTTCCAGGGTAAATTACTACGTGTATCTTTCTGGCTCACACAGAACATTTTTCTTAAAGAGTAGATATGGGAACTAGAGGTGGCTTAGCAGTTCAGAGTGCTACTTTTGCAGAGGACTAGAGTTCAGTTCCCAACACCTACCTCGGATGGTTCCCAGCCACCTGTAAACCCAGCTCCAAGGGATCCAATGCCCTCTTCTGGCTTTCTTGGGTACCAGGCATGCAGAGATACACATGCAGGCAAAACACTCACATATAATAACAAATTACTAAATGTCTAGGATAGTAATGTTATGTCCTTAGTAGGCACAACATTTTTGACCATCAATAGTAAAAAAAAAAAAAAGCAGTAAAAATTTTAAGAGAATATTTGGAAGTCTACAGTGTATACACCACTGCCAACTAAATTTTAAAACTTTCCCTGTCCTTGCTCAGGGAAAACAGCAGGTAACATAGATAACCACTACCGAGGACTATCACAAAGACGTGTATTACTATGTACACTTAAGCTGTATATAGTCAGGACAAATGTATGCTTTGGGAACTGGAGGACATAAATTCTAACAAACACGAAAGGAATCTAGGAGTTTCCTGGACACTTGTTGGATGAGTGTTCCAGTGAGTGAAGTCAGAGTAAGCACAGAGCATTCGAATAATGAATGGCAAAAGCCTTCTGAGATGATACTGAAACAAAGGCTAAATGATCTTTCTTTGGGAGAGGGCACCCTCCCAGTGTTGACAGGCTCCTATAGGTGTTAGCCACACACACACACACACACACACACACACGAACACAAAGACAAAACAGAGATGATAGGAATGTATGCTTTCCAAACTGGTTCTGAGTCCACTAACTTCAGAATTCGCTACAGACCTGAATTCACCAGTTACAGGCCTTGGCAATCTTTATTTTGAATA